CCCCCCCCCCCCCCTTTTTTCCTTTGTGCGGTGCGTTTGAGTTGCCAAGGTTCGATCGCGCACTGCTGGCTCAGGGACCTTGCAGGCCGCCTTTTTCATGCCGCTTCCAAGCCTCGGTCGCGACCCAAACCGTCAGAGGGCTGCAGCAGCTGCGGATGTGGTCTCATTGCGCGCCGCTGCAGCCTGCATCTTTGTCCGAAATTTGCAGCACCATCTCTGGCCTCTGCGCTACAGTAGATTGCGTTGCGTTGCCCCGCCCTCGTGGCTTTCCAGGTCCAACGGCGAAACTCTGGCTGCCGCTGCCACCCAGAATGCTACGAACGCCAGCGGGACACGGCAAGCCTCTCCTGGGCCTGCAACTCGTGTTGTGGTACACCTCGTTCCAGCCGCCCTCGCTCCTGAGTAGCCGCCCGCGTCCTGGTGTCAGCCTTTGCGCACGGCATCGCCTCCCGGCCCCGTCTCCTTTGCAACCGCCGAGCACTGCTCCGCCAAGGTCAGACCAGCCGTTGCAATGCCGATAGAGATAGACTTCGTCATTGCCTGACCGTGCCGCTCATGTTGCACAGATTTGGCATGGACGAGGGCGGGCGAGCAGCCAAGGCAAGCGGCGTCTCGTTCGCAACCATTGCGAGCGGTGGCCGCCCATACGGGCCATTGTCACTCGTCCCACTTTGGCACAGAGGGACAGCCAGTGTCACATCGGAGTTGGGGCCTTCTGTCGCCGCTCTCCAGTCGCTCCGATGGGTGAACAAAGGAGATCGCCGGAAAAGCGCGTGCACCGGAGGGCTGTGCATGTGCGGCCAACTCGACTTTCCATTCTGTCATTCCCGCGAAGCTCTAAGCGAGGAACCGGTTCGCAATCAGTGCGACGCGATGGGGCCGGGATCAGATGGATGTGAAACGCAGTGGCGCACGGAAATTCACAGGCTCGTGATCGCACGGAAGCGACGGATGAAATCGCCGTCTACTGTATCCAGCCATTTGCACTGACGGTCTCCGCCCATCGGCTGTAACGGTACCACATCAAATCTGGCGCATGTTCGGACCCGCAAGGACCAGGATGCATTGGTCGAATGCAAGCTGCAGTTGGCTTTGTGCAGCACAGTGAGCCACAACCTTGAACGTTGTTTGGAACAGTGCAGTGCATTGCACATGCAGCGACTCGTTGGCGGAGCGTCTTTTGCACGAAATTTCAATGCACGCCCGAAGCTCGCCAACGGCACCTGGTGCTACGATAGCTGGCGAACGGTGGTGCGCATGCTTGGCGGGGAAAGCAGGTTTTCGACAAGGCTAGCCGAGGCCGACGTGGCCAAAAGCATCCCGCCATCATCCATACCAACGCAACTCGCCTGAGCGAGAAACAGCCCAGAGAGATTCGAGACAGGGGAAAGCAGGCACAGCATTGGCGAAGACCTAGATTGCCGTCTAACTTTTTCTGTATTTTTTTGAATATGGTTGCGTGCAGCCGACCAATGCGGGTTCAGATCCCGTGCTTCATTAGGGCGCATTTTTTTTGCTCCGCCTCGGACCACTTTGCAGTCGAGCCCGGCCGGCTGTCGCAAGCTGAGCCCCAACGGTAGATTCCTGGCTCAACAAATCCGACCTGCTTTTTGGTTTTGCATCGGCCGACTCAAGCCCGTCGTCCGCTTTCCCGCGGAGCGCGCCAAGCTGCTTGGCCGGCCATGACAGTAAGCATCACGTCTTCCACCTCAGCATACGGACAGCCGAGTTGCTGATCATCACCGCCTCACTGCTTCCAGGTCAGGCTTAGTCGCACCAGCCCGCTTCCAGTAGAGTGAAGAGCGCCGAGTGTGAATCGACCTCTTTCGGCACTAAGCACAGCTGAGCCACGATCGGCTCGATAGCTCCGTCGGATCCGCTCTGTGCACTCCAAACCACTTTATTTCACGCTCAGATCGCTTCGCTAGGACGACTGGACTTCTCGAGGTTTTTGTTGCAGTGCGACAAGGGGAGGACTCTTTGCAGCAAAACGAAGATATTTACATCGAGATGCCGCGAAAATGGGACCAGACCGCCTCGGTGGTTTGTACGGCGGATTTGGAACCGCGCGCTGTCGTAGCCGTCGACCTTGCACCTCGGCTCTGGTGTGTGTTCGTCAATTCGATCCGGTAAAACTCACAACAGGCGGGCGACGAGGAACAGCAGCAAAGCCATGGTCGCCATCTCGCTCCAAGGGCTCGGTTTCGCATCCAGCCGAATTCGGGTCGCCGTGTCAAGGTAGTACAGGCCCCTGTTGCACCCAAGGCAGCATGAAGGCAGCTTCCAGCTCCGACCTCACACCCATGGCTCCTGGCGGGGCGACACGCGCTTGCTCGGCCATCCGTCCTAGCCCTGGACTACGGCCGACTTGGCGGGCGCCCTTGGGTTTTACGTTTCGGCCCTGGCATACTTTTGAGCCCCGCTCGCTTCGCAGCCTGTTCCACGGTGCCTAGCGCTCCCTTGCCGCTCAAGTTCGAGTCCTGCACATGTGTCGGCTGGGTCTTTCATCGGCTCTCGAAACCTAGACGCTATTCAATGGCGTGACTGGCATTTCCACTCTACACCTGTAGAGGGGCCGGTTGATTCCTCCAGCTTCCCTCCCGTGCCAGCTGAGTTGCCAACGGCCTGATCCAGGTGCCCCTGCCCACTTGACACTCCGTCCGCCCCTCCGATCCGCAAAGATGGCGAGGCGCACACTCTTTACCCGGTAGATTGGGGTCACATCAGGTCTGGCCATTGATCGAGAGCAATTGCCGGCCATGCGTGGCGCTCGGTCGGCAACTGCCTTGACTGAGCTTACATACGGATCCTGGGTGCGAGGCGGACGGTACCGTTCGAGATGGTCCATCAGCTGGGTGCAGCCCGCTGCACACGTATACGGACGATCTGTTTGAAGTTGTCGTCGCCTTCCATCGAGAGCCTGGCTATAGTGGCCTCGTGTTGTTGCTGTGCACTTGCCGCTGCCCCTTCTAGAGTGTTGGGCTGGAACAGCTGCCGTTGCACACTATCATCGCTTCGAATGGCCACTAGTTCAGGCACGCTTACGACGGAGAATGGCTGCCGAACGGTCAAGCCAGCAACAAAAGGCAAGCCGCTTGGTGGCTGCATTTCCCAGGGCTGGCGATCGCGAGGCGGCCCGCAACGCTCGCCTCGCTTTCCGAACGGCTTCCCGTGGCGTGTGTGCTTTTTCCTCTTGGCTGCGGCGATGCTCTCAATGGCCAACAATGCTGCTGCCGAGTGTGCAGCCTGCTGTGCTGTATGACATGGTGCCCTCTGCTCACCCACGTCCACAAGTTCGGCTGCTGCGCGCCGAGGCCCCCTAGAATTATTTTTTTTGCCGATACTGCCTCAGCATGGGATAGAGTCACCCTCCGCGCTCCGCTGCCGAGAGTCAGGGGGACCTGATGGCCGCTCATGCGCCCCGTTCGAAAGCGAGAGGGCTTGACTGCGACCACGGTTGTAGTCGCAGCGTAGAGCCGAACATCACGGGCC